TTCCGATCTGTTCCCTATCCGTGCAGCATTATATCTGTCTCTTATACACATCTAGATGTGTATAAGAGACAGCTCTCTCTCTCTCTCTCTCTCAATTCGTCGAGACGTGGATGTGTGAATGCGCATTTATCTCATGGGGTGTCAAAAATGGCAGGACTCATGATTGATTGATTGCGTATATGAATGTCGTTCATGTAAATATGAAATTAGAGAATTATTGAAAATATGTTTTCAATACATCGACTCCTATGAGGCACTTGCCCATGCACAAAGAATCTCACCATCCTCCTCCCTCGCACTGGCGTCAACTTGTGTCGTCTTTCTCGTGTGTGTGGTATGCAATGCAAATGACAACAACGGATACAAGAATATGCAAAAGAGGGTGGACAATGCGCCTCGCAACTTCGTCTTTATCAGAGAGGGAGATGAAAGCACTGTCGCATATCATCCGTGGATACGGGAATAGGTATCCCATAGCCAGCACACACGATATTAACATGAACGAAGTGTTGCAACTCACTTGGCACGATTTCCTTTTACTCGTTGTCGAACGCAAGTGGTTAAATGACAACGTCATCAATTTCTACCTCAACCTCATCGCATTGGAGAATAAGTGTAGAATAGCAACATAGAATGCGACGCAAAGAACGAGACCGTCATTAGAACAATAAATAGTCGCATTCCTAGAATATCGGTGTTGAGCTCATTTTTGTTCGCCAAACTTTTCGACAAAGAAATGAGATATTGAGGCCCAGAGGTGAAGCGTTGGTACGAAGACGTAATTATAAGTGACATGAACTTGAAAATTGTCTCTTTCCATATTGCGCACAAGGACCACTGGAGCCTCGTCATGGCTGAATTAAGAAGGAGGAAATTCGAATTTTATACTTTCTCGACCCCGACATGGAATTGGCGAGAAAAGTGATCGGCGGGTTTGCGAAGTTTCTATTCGAGAGATCGAAATCGGAAGGCAAAGAGGTGGATGCGAAACCCTGCAATCACATATGGAACGTAGAGGGCATTCTGAAACAACGTGACACGAATGAATGCGGGGTCTTCATGCTCACGTATGCATCACTTTGGGCTAGGGGGCACCTTCCGCCTTTCTCATTCACCGCTGATGACATAGGGGGCACCTTCCGCCTTTCTCATTCACTGCTGATGACATACCCGCGATACGTCGTTGATTGGCTTTGGACACAGTGGCTCGTGTGTAGTGAGTATGTGTTATTCGATATTATAATTACATGGAGGCAGATATACGCGACATGAAATAGTTTGTAACAGAAACAATGCATAAAAGGTAGTAAACATTGCTCAATACGCTATGTCACTCACCCCCTGCCATTGACCCCTTATCCCTTACCCCTTACTTCTTATCCCTTACCCCAAACCCCATACCCCTTGTCCCGTACCCCAAACCTCAAATTTCCAATGCTTTTTGCACCCAAATCATTATGAAAATGTCAAATTCGATTTCGTTCAAAAAATATAAAATGCCTGTTTTGACGAAATCGTTGTTTAGAGCTGATATCCACCTCCCAATTCACCATCTCTACCCAGGAGTCTGGAGGGACCCAAATGGCTACCCCCCCTGACCCACTCCTTGGAGCATACGAGCTTATCTTTTGAAGGGTCAAATTAGGTTATTGGCTCTATTATGAGCAGGGGAGTCCAAGAGGTGAGTTTCCTAAATACATATAAAATCTGGCCAAGAGCGACCACCCACTCCTCTAAGTTGCTCCATGATGGAGTGTCGCATCTCTGCATCTGCTGTAGCCAGTCCATTGACATTGAAATATCTTAGATCAGGTCTGCAGTAGCACGACGCCACGAAGGGTTCTTCCCATACAGAGCTAGTAGTACATTCATTAAAATAGCTATACCAACAAACTACCCCTTTGTGACGTTGTGTACTGTGCGTCAGATCCTCAACCAATTCTCTGTATCAAGCTCAGATGAGGGTTGTAGTACACCCTGACGTAAAATAGTGTCAAAAAAAGATGAGACCTAGATCAGACTGCATTGGCTTTGACCTTTAACAACTGGAGATCTAAAAGAGCCACCTGTACTCCTAGGTACCTTTCTGATTCACTGTGCTCTACACTCTTCATTCCCCAATCGACCTCCAAGACGTATTGTTCCGGAAGGAAGAAAATTGACTTTGTTCAATTGACGTCAGCCTCCAAGAGATGTGCATAGTCTGTCAAACAAACTTTTAGTGCAAGGAGAGATTCCGCTGTGTTTTATGAGATCTCCCGGTGTTGTACCTGGAGTCCCATAAACTGAGGGTGTTTTCTAACGTTACAGACTAGAACTTCTAATTGCATTACAAACAAGAGTGAGCGGACATTCTTGCCGCAAGGATCTAGTAAGAGGGAAGATCGGCGAGACATGGCCATTAGCTGTGAGTGTAGCGGTTGAGAAGGTATATAGAACACAGACCCACCGGCAGAAGTTTGGGCCAAAATGCAGAACCTTCAGCGTTGTGAGTACATAAGCGCAATTAACTCTATCATAGGTTTTTTCCAGGTCGAGCAGCAGAATTGCCATGTTCAGATCTCCCTGGTGAACCCATTCTAATGCCTCAATTGCGGTCACCATGTTATCGAAAATGGATCGTCCTTGAATGAATGCAGCCTGATCCTGTCCTACCAAACCTGGTAGGTATCTGCCTAGCCTTCTAGCTCACAGTTTTGCTAGGATTTTATAGGATACATTCAAAAGAAAAATTGGTCGCCAGTTCCTAATTTCCAACTTATCCCCTTTCTTCTACATTATAGAAATTATCACATGCACCATCCCTTTGGATAGTTGTCCTCCGGTAAGCGCTTCGTTGTAGATCTTAACTAGGTGTGAAAACATTACATTACCATGCTGTAGGTAAAATTTCATCGCCGGGAGACCGTCATCTCTCGACGATTTTCCTTTCGCCATACTTTTCACCGTTTCACATACCTCTTCCACTGTAGTCGGACTATTCAGGTCCAACTTACCTGCAGTAGGGAGACGGGCTGTGAGATTGTCCCAATGCGACGAGTCTGATGACAGATCCGTCTCCGGGTCTTCCCCAAGTCTGCGTGAAGTTAGTAGATCTTTATAGTACATGGCTGCATAATTGCACATTGCATCTGAGGTCGTGGCTACCCTAGTCTATGGGATGAAAGGATGGGATAGCTGTTTCATTGACTATGCTGCTCTTTTGGGCTGTAGTCTCCGAATAGTTTCTTTAGTCCTATGGTCGTAGATCGATATTCCTTTAACGGTCAGTTTTTCAGCCTATTCCTCAGACTTCCTTTGTTGTATATCATCACATTCTGAGAGAATCCGCACGCGTTCTGCTGCCCATACGGAAGTTGAGATCGGATGGAGGTTCATCCGTTCCTCCACCCATTGCAAATCCCTTAGACAATTTTGTTCTTCCTTGTTTTGCTCTGCTACAAGTATGCGTGAAAAAATGCTCAAAAAATTTGCTGCAATAGCGGTCCCTGCATCCCACCATTCGCCTATAGTTTAAAAATGGGGTGCGCTCGGGACCATTTTTGGAAGAATAATTCTACCCAGGCCGAGGCCTGGGTCCTTCAAATTTTAAATGTTGAGTTGGAAAAAAACCGTACCATGAGCTATCATATCTAAAAGTTGAAAAGTCGTTTTGATTGGGTAGTGATCTGAGGTGGGTAGCCTAACTACCTCTACATTCAAGGCTGCGTCCTACCATGCCGGACTGAATAGACCGTAATGGCCCATGTGAAGTTGGGTCAATAGGGTGTATTAGCCGAAATGCATCACACAGATCGAGTTATGTCATGCAACCAGCGATAAGATGTCCGGGGAGCCCGAATCTGAGTTCAAAACATCATCTAGCGAGCAATTACAGTGCCCCACACCAGTAGGTTATCAACATCCGGGGTATGTGAGATCATATCCTCAAAGGACCTCATGAGTTCCGCTCTATCAACTGGCGCATAAACTGTCATCACCGCCCATTCTGTACCAAAGGCTGCAAATTTCACCCAAGCCCAACGTCCTCACAAATCAACTGCATCATCTGCATGGTCTATGATCTCAATTGGCAGATCCCTGTGCAGGAGAATGCCTACCCCGCCTCTGGTTCCTACTGCCGGGGACCACAATCGAGGCCCATCCCACCATGCTCCTAGTTTAGCGATCTTACGCTCATATAGCTTACTTTTTGGAATGCAGGCGATCTGCACCCGCTGCTGGTGTAGCCAAGACTTAAAACGCGTACGTTTGCCCTTTTTAGCAGAGTCGCCTAGACCCCGTAGGTTCCAGGAGACTATGGTGCAACTATTCATTCATGCGAACTTTGTGTACCCTTGATTGGATGGTGGGGGCAACATGGTGTCCTCTGCCTCCTGTCTGCGTAGGTGGCCGTCGAAAGCCTTAGCCACCTGATTTGGATGTAATACTCGGTGCTCACGAGGA